GAGGCTGAGGCAGGAGAATCGCTTGAACCTAGGGGGTAGAGGTTGCAGTGAGCCGAGATCGAACCACTGCACTCCAGCCTGGGTGACAGAATGAAACTCTGTCTCAAAAAAACAAAAAACAAAACAAAATAGAAGATAAAAATCACAATAAGACACCACTACTCAGTCATGGAAATAGCAAAGATCAAAAAGACTGACAGTACCGACTACTGTCAAGGATGTGGAATAATTCTAACTCTCATACATGGCTACAGGAATGTAAAAGAATACAGTTCATAACCCAGCAGTTTTACCTCTAGGTAAATACAAATGTTCACAAAAGACTTGTACAAGAATGTTCACATAGGAGCCCACAACTGGAAAGGTCTTAAATGTTTATCAATTGGAGAAGAGATAAACATATCGTGGTATATCCATATAATGGAATATGACTCAGCAATGACAAAGAACCAGATACTCATAACACATCTGTTTAATAACACAGATGAATCTAAAGATATATGTCCAGTAAAATAAGCCATTCGAGAGGCCAAGGAGGGTGGATCATCTGAGGTCAGGAGCTCAAGACCAGCCTAGCCAACATATTGAAACACTGTCTCTACTAAAAATACAAAAATTAGCTGGGTGTGGTGGTGGGTACCTATAATCCCAGCTACTTGGGAGGGTGAGGCAGGAGAATTGCTTGAATCTGAGATCGTGCCATTGCACTCCAGCCTGGGTGACAAGAGCAAAACTCCGTCTCAAAAAAAAAAAAAAAGAAGTCATACATGAGAGAGTACATATAATTTCAGTTTGTCCAGGAACATGCCAAATTAACCAGTAATGATAAAACTAGAAAATGGTTGCCTAGAAGATCGGAAGGAAAATTAATTGGAAATGAGAACTTTCGGGGCTGATGCAATGGTAGCCTTCATGTTGGTTACAAAGGTATCAACAATTGCGAAGAGTTGTCAAACCACACCCGGCTGTGTTGTCTCACGCCTGTAATCCCAGCACTTTGGGACGCCAAGGTGGGTGGATCATTTGAGGTCCAGAATTCAAGGCCAATATGATGAAACCTGTCTCAGCTACTCGGGAGGCTGAGGCAAGAGAATGGCTTGGGCCGGGTGCAGTGGCTCAGGCCTGTAATCCCAGCACTTGGGGAGATTGAGGTGGGCAGATCACGAGGTCAGGAGTTCCAGACCAGCCAACATGGTGAAACCCCATCTCTACTAAAAATCCAAAAAAATTAGCCAGGTGTGGTGGCGGGCACCTGTAATACCAGCTACTCAGGAGGCTGAGGCAGGAGAATGGCTTGAACCTGGAAGGTAGAGGTTGCAGTGAGCCAAGACAGAGCCATTGCACTCCAGCCTGGGTGACAGAGCAAGACTCCATCTCAAAAGAAAAAAGAAAGAAAGAAAAAGAAAAAGAGAATTGCTTGAACGTGGGAGAGCAGAGGTTGCAGTGATTTGAGATCCCAACACTGCATTCCTGCTTGGGTGACAGATAGAGACTCTGCCTCAAAAAAAAAAAGAAAAAGAAAAAAGAGAAAGTAGTCGAATCAAACACTTAAAAGATTTGTAGATTTTACAACTGGGCATGGTGACTCATGCCTGTAATCCTCCCACTTTGAGAGGTGGAGGTGGAAGTGGGTGGATCACCTGAGGTCAGGAGTTGGAGACCAGCCTGGCCAACATGATGAAACCCCCATCTCTACTAAAAATACAAAAATTAGCTTGTGATGCATGCCTATAATCCCAGCTACTCAGGAGGCTGAGATGGGAGAATTGCTATAATCCAGGAGGTGGAGGCTGCAGTGAGTCAAGATAGTGTCACTGCCCTCCAACCTGGGTGACAGAGGGAGACTATCTCAAAAAAAAAAAAAAGAAAAGAAAAAAGAAAAAAATTACATATTCAATCTAAAATAAAAGGAAAGTGCAGGGCAAAGAGTACATTCATTTCAGTTAAAATTATATTATGAATTTATACCTCTATTAATGTCCAGTCCCCTACTGAAAGCTGCCCCCTCCTTCTGTCATTCTCCCCTCACCCCTGCCCACGTCTCCATGACATTTGTCCATTAGCCATTTTTTAGCCATCATGAGAGGTGATGTAATGGAAAATGCAGCAACCTTAGAGCCAGAACTGCATTCAAATCCTAGCTGCCACTTAGTTGCTGAGTGCCCATATGTTCCCTGGTCTCTCTGAGCCTTCATTTTCTCAACTAGAAAATGGGTTAGCCTGAGGGGCTGCTCAGCCCACAGCCCCTCAGACTCCAATCTTAGAAGGCTGGATGGAGACAGGGATGGGGCTCAGAATGGGGACAGAGACTGGGTCAGTTTTGCCACAGAAGTAGCAACAAGAACAAAAGTAGGGACACAGGCAGGTAAGTACCTAGTCTACTCAGTTGGGCTAGGGACCCTCATTCTTTTTGACATCAACTTGCAAGATCATTCACATAAATGGTCCCACTATAGGCCTGGAAAGTGCTCAGAGGATGAGATTCACAGACTTCTCCCAGAAGGGCCAGAAGGCAGCCCCGGGACCCTGGTTAGAGTGTAGGAGAGGTGGTGCTGACAGCTGGTGAAATGGCTGCTCAGAGCCCACGTGGCCAGAGAAAGGCAGCTCCTAGCTTCTGATTTAGGGGACAGGTGTCCTGGGTAAGTCTGGCCACTAGAGAAGCTTGCCCAAATCGTTTTGCACACTTCTGGACCTCAGCTACCCCACCGGAAACAACTGGATCAGGTTGGATCTGAGCAATCTGACATCAAAAACAGCCTCAGGAATTTCCCAATACATAGAGGAGATAAAAGAAAAATGGAACCGGTCTTGTCTGAAATAAGATAGGGAAGGGTCCAGAGCCCTGTCCTCTAGGTTCCCCTCCCCCACCATGGTGGCCCTTGAGGCAAGATGCCGGGTCTCACAGGACAGAGAGAGTTCAAATCTAAGGTATTGGGCAATCCACAAGGACACTTTCAGCTCTGCCTTATTCAGTCGTTGAGCACCTGTTACATGTAAATGAAGTAACTTAGATCTGCAGGCTGCCCCCCATCTGGTAGAGGAGGCAAAATACGTCTAGAAGTAACTCCAAAGGAGGTAGAAAGGTCGGGGTGTAGTCAAAGAAGCACAAAAATGCCACAGAATAACCCTGTCCTCCACCCCTCCCACCCTCAGAGCCCTCTTTCCCATGCACTTTGCATTTCCTTACTCAGAGACTGGAAGGGAGGTCTGCAGCGGTATCCTTGTTTCACAATCGGGGACACTGAGGCTCTGTCTGGGAGGGTGGCTCCTTACTGGCAAGCGGCCAGGCCAGGGCTCCACCCTACATCTCCTGTCTCCTGAGACACGCCTATTTCCAGGTAAAGAAAGGAGGCACTGAGGCCTGCTCAGGAGCCCAAGGAGCGCAAACGACGAGCTAAGCCACAAAACAGTTGCGGCGGGTCTCGGTTCCTTCCTGGGGGAGGAGCTGCGCTCACACCCTCCACGCCCCCCCTCCCTCCCAGCCGCCACAGTGGGAAGATCGGGGAATCTCAAATCCCTCTGCTTCTCTGGCTCTTTGCGCGCTGACATTTTTCTTTTTTTCTTCTTTTTACTGTTTTTTGGACGCTCTTCAAGAGTTTGTGCAATCATTGTGTTTAGCTGTTTTCCTGCCATTTCCAAACGCGGGGTGGTGTCCCTTTTGAGTAGGAGCGAGGTGGTTTGAAGAGTTGGAGGGACCTTCCGCCTCCCATCGCCCCAGCGCAGCTTGCACCCCAGCTGCCAAAGTTAGTGTCGGAAACTTTCCCCATGCGGGGCGTCTGGCTGAGTCCTCGGCTCTCCAAAGCTCTCTGACATCTTCCTCTCGATTCCCTTGCCCCTTGGGGTTCCTGCGACCCTCACTTTATTCCCCCACTCCCAAATTCCCCTTCCCAGAGGCACCTCCTTCCTATCTTCTCCTGGGCAAGAGCCACTCCTCTGTCCTGCCCCACAGGCAAGGACAGACCCCTCACTCGCTGCGACTTACTCGGTCGCATCCTGTGCCCCCTAAGTCTCCTCTCTCTTCCCCACCCCCACCCCGAGGACCCATGGGGGAACCTCAGCCCGCAGCCCCTCAGGCTCCAATCTTGGACGGCTGGACAGAGGCAGGGACGGGTATATGGTGGGGACAGAGGGACAGAAACTGGGTCCGATTTGGCACCGAGGTAGCGACAAGAACAAAAGCAGGGAGGGACACAGGCAGGGCAGAAACCGGGCCCTCCCCACTCCCCCCACCACCCTCGCCCACGCGCAGAGCCCCCAGTCCGGGCCCTGCTCGCGGCCTCCGGGGACTTGGGCGGCGCCCCGCGGGACCCACCTGATCCGCAGAACCCGGGCGCCGAGGGCCGGCGCGCGGCGATCGGGGCTGGGCAGGACCGCGCCTAGCTCCTGGCCCCGGCGGCGCCCTCCACGCTCGAATCAGCCACAGCGCCGCCTCTGCCCGAGCCCGGGCCGGGCGTGCCAGGGTTGGGTGTACTCGCCCGTCCTCTTGCTCGTGGGCCGGCCGGCCAGGCGTCTGCTCCGGGCAGCGCACAGCGGGCAGGGGCACGAGGAGCAGGCGAGCGCTGACAGCGGGCGGCGCGCTCTGCCCGGCCCGCGGCGATCGGTTCCAAGCCGGTCCCCGCCCCGGACACAGACAGCTGGGAGGCCGGCGCGCGAGTGCGTGAGTGAGTGTGCGTGTGTGTGTGCCGAGGGGGAGGCGGGTGTGTTTGTTTCATTTTCACTCAAGCAGAAAAAAGCCTGAAACCAGCAAAAAACAAAATAAAATCCCCGGTGAGGGTGGCTGGGCCTCTTTTGCCTTCTCGGGCCTGCACGTGGTGATGGTGGTGTCTGTGACTGAGCGGGAACCGGGGGCGTTGGAAGATGGGGTGGGGTCTGTCACCCTGTGCTGCGGGGTGGGGCTGCGCTGCCCTGGCGCACCGCCAAACGCTGGGGAACCCAGAGCCTGGGAGGTCTGATCACTGTCTGTTTCCCGAGGAAGGAAGAGCGCGAATGTAGGCAGCGGCAGGCCAGGGGCTGGAGTCGCTCTTGCAGGAATCCTGAGCTCTGGAAGTGAGGGCTGGGCGCTGGACACCTGGTGCAGGGCCTGCCTGCGTTTGCCTACTGACTTTCTGATCTTTGAGCCCGGAGTTTCTCAAATAGGGCTCTAAGGCAGCCCCTAGGCTGTGGAATAACTCTTTACCAGAATTATGTAGAAAGGAATCCAAAACATTCTATTTCAGAGTATGTGCTTCTGTGCCCAGTGTGGCAATGATTCACTCTTTGTGAGAGTTGCTATGGACACACCTGGCTGCCCTAAGTTCTCTTTGTCTTATAGTGATAGCCACTGGGGTCATCTGATTCCCTCTCATATCAATCTACTTTACAGGTGGAAAAGTCAGAACTTCATTTTGCCATTTGCCTTTGAACGGCATTTTCATAGACTAAGAAATTCCCGTCTTAAATAATTCAGCCAGGCCTGTAATCCCAACACTTTGGGAGGCCGAGGTCGGCGGATTGCTTGAGCTCAGGAGTTGGAGACCAGCTTGGGCAACATAGCGAAACCTGTCTCTACAAACTATACAAAAATTCGCCAGGCATGGTGGCATACTCCTGTAATCCCAGCTACTTGGGAAGCTGACACCCGAGAATCTCTTGAACCTGGGAGGCGGAGGTGGCAGTGAGCTGAGATCTCACCACTGCACTCCAGCCTGGGTGACAGAGTGAGCCTCCGACTCAAAACAGCAACAACAACAAACAAACAAACAGCAACAAAAAAGAAATTTGCTTTTTAAATTATTGAATACATTGGAACTGTAATTTGACACCATTACAGAAATAGCACAGAGCACTGGCATGATGTATAATTTTAAATGTCTCTTACTAATGGGAAAGGGACAGCAGGGCTGACGCCCTTTCTGGCCTCAGCCCACCGGCACCCAGGTGAAAAAAAAAAAAGGGACAGTGGCCTGACCGGCGAGGTGATGTCACAGAATTTGGGAGAGTGGAATTTCCTGTTGGGTTCAATGGAGTGAAGTGGTGGGAGGATGGAGCCATCAGCTCCACACAACAGCTCAGGAATGAGGAGCTCCAGGACAGCCAGCACAATGGGCCCTTTGCTAGAGGATAAATTGGGCCATTATTGTCTTATGTGAATACACTTGAAATAGTTCATTAGTTGTGAGTATCACAGCAAATGTACAATGAGTGATGTTATACTAAGTGTATTATTTTCCACTTTTCATTATTGCATTTGAGAATGCATTGTTTAAACTGCTCGGCCCATCGAACTGGATTATGAACTCTTCCCCTCTTTTTAAGAACACAATGATAGTGAACATGACAAGGGCACAAATGATGACCCATCATGATCAAAGTCCAAAGATGTAACACAGGAAATGAAACACCCCAAACCACTACTCTGTTACTGGTACACCCAGGGTCAGCAGTTTAATCAGTCACTTGATTTAATGTTGTTAACTTGAATTTTTAAAATTGATTTTGTGGTTTGTTTTTACTTTGAAGATTTGTTTTGGTTTTGTGGTTGGTTTATAGATCTTTGAGCATGAGAAGTTCATGCTTAATTTTAGGTTTACACCTGTTCCAAAAAAGTAAAAGGAATGTAAGCTGACCTCGTGGGCCTGTTAGATACCGCCCCCTCCCCCCCACCTTTGAGAGTCATATGGTTCTGAAAGTCAAACTAGCAATTCTGCTGACTGAATGTCTGAGCTGGAAAACACCTTTTGCCTCCTTGGGTTTGGGATCAGGAGTTGTAGGTTTAAGGTCTTAGATGACTCATCCTTCCCCTCATTTGTCTCATATGTAAAATGGGGGTAAGATGACTAGTTCTTAGGAGAAGTAAAAGCAAAATGAAATGACTTCTGGAAAGAGCTTTGAGGCCACCAGAGCATCCCAGAAATATGAGGCCAAAAGATTCTCGAAGAGGAAGGGTAGGTCACGGAACCCCTTATGTAGCTCTGACCACCAGACAAGAGTCATCAGCTCCACACAACAGCTCAAGAATGAGGAGGTCCAAGGGCTTTACATGTTACACAAACTTACTTAAATCTCTGACCCACCTTGGGAAGGCATACTAATCACATGGCCTTTTCCCAGGAGAGAAAGTAGAGGCAAAAGGAAATTAAGTAACTTTGTTTGCCATTCCTCTGGATAGGGCCAAATGCCCCAGGGCCTAAAGACCTTCCTCTTGTATCTGCTACTTTCTTGCAAGAAATATTTATGGGACCTAATTATCTGTCCTACTTGCTAAGAGCACCAACATAAACAAGTTAGACCAACCATAGCCTAGAGGAGTTTTCAGACTAGGAGGAGGAAGATAATGGTGCATACAGGGGAAAACTCAGACAGAAGAGGGAGTTGACTAAGTGGAGAGATGAAAGAGGGTGTTTCAAGGGAATCACAGGCAAAAGTGCTGAGGAGAGAGGGCTAGGACCCCGAGTGTGCTGGAATGTGTCAACATCACAAATACATAATGCTCCAGGTGTGGTGGCTCAGGCCTGTAATATCAACACTTCGGGAAGGTGAAGTGGAAGGACTCCTTGAGGCCAGGAGTTTGAGACCAGCCTGAGAGCAGCATAGCAAGACTCCATCTCAATTTTTTTAAAAAAAGGAAAAAATATTTCAAAAGAAATAAACAAATATGGCAATTCTCAAATCAACTGCAAACAAACTCCAATGGAGTTTTTCTGGAACTTGATGGCTGCTCCTAAACTTCATAGAAAGAGCAAAGGGCCAAATTTAACCAGATGTCAAGATGTACTGAGAGGCTATAGCAAGGGACTACAGTATTGGTACCAGGATGGGTTCTCACCAATGGGTCGGAATAAGGAGCCTAGAAAGAGACCCACACATGTGTGTGACAGAGGAACACCAGATCAGTGGGAGAAAAAGCAGACTCTTCAAAAAATGTTGCCAGATCTCAAAGAATTGAAAGCAAGTGGGCAAACAAAAGCTTAGACAGGAAAGCTTATGGCATTGCTATCCACAATAGCCGACAAATGGAAACAACGCAACTGTCTACCAACTGAAGAATGATAAACAGGCCTAGCGTGGTGGCTCAAGTCTGTAATCCCAGCACTTTGGGAGGCCCAGGCAGGCAGATTGCTTGAAGCCAGGAGTTTGAGACCAGCCTGGCCAACATGGTGAAACCCTGTCTCTAAAAATAACAAAAATTAGCCAGGCATGGTGGTGAGCGCCTGTAATTCCAGCGAATTACAGGAGGTTGAGGTACAAGAATCACTTGAACCCGGTAGGTGAAGGTTGTAGTGAGTCAAGATCGTGCCACTGCACTCCAGCCTGGGTGATGGAGTGAGGCTCTGTCTCAAAAAAAGAAAAGATAAACAGAATGTGGTATATTTATACAGTGAAAAATTACTCGGCATCAAAAGGAATGAAGTACCAATTCATACCTCAACATAGATGAACCTTGAAAACGTTGTGCTAAATGAAAGAAGCCAGGCACAAAAGACCACATATTGTATAATTTTATTTACATAAAATATCCGATAGCTAAACTTATAGACAGAAAGCAGATAAGTGAATGCCAGGGGCTAGGAGGAGGGGAATGAGGAGAGACTGCTTAATGGGCACAGAGTTTCCTTTCGAGGTGATACATAGCAATTTGGAACCAGATCTCGGCAATACTTACATAATTTTGTGAATGTTCTAAATGCCACTGAATTGCACACTTTAAAATGGCTTAACCATTTGAAATGTGACTTTGATTTTATATGAATTTTAAAGTGTTGCTGGGCAATTCCCTATTTGTTAAAAATATAAAATAAAATTATA